CCCTGCTCGGAGCCTCCATCACTCTGCCCCCTCTCTGCACAGCCAGGGAGCTCGGGGGCAAACTCGAGTGGGAGGGGCGACAGTCAGCAGTGGCTGGGTGAAGGCACAGGTGGGGAGATTGTGACCAAGAGGCAAGCAAAGACTCAGTCAAGCCTGTGAGACCTCCCACGGTAAAGGAATAAACATGGAGAAGCACAGACACGCCACACACCCGGTTATTAGGTGTGCTGCTCGCTGGCCTATATAAACCATCTGCTTATGTTAACTATTGCCTGTCTTTGTTTAACATGTGTGCAGACAGAAGTTACAGTCAACACCTGCAGAGCATGGTAGCAATGTGTGATCTACACTTGATATATCTGTTCATGTCATTTATGTTTTCCTTAATAAGACTTTATTGTAAAAATTGAATATAAGAATGAGAATATATAAAGAATTTATTTGTTTTCCTTTGTTAGATCCATTATATCTCCAAATCTTGTGATCTTGTGAGTTCTCTGGTTATGCAGAGCCTTATTCAAGCTTCCCCTGACCTCCCAGGATCCTCTGAGGCCTGTAATTTGGAGCGCCTGACTTGGAAGAAGCCCTGAAGCTAACCATTTGGTATCTGACAGATTAACCCCACATAGAAATACAGGCTTGTACACACATACACACACAGATTGCCGCCTGCCTCCTTGCCTACTGCATGATTAAGTGAAGATAAGGGAGCGCTTCAAACTCCCAGGATTCTCAGGGATATTTAAAGCCTTCATGGAAATTTCCATAGGGAGTGGTATGGTGATGGACGTGGTTTACATTATGTGTGTATGTGTGTGTGTGTGTGTGTGTGTGTGTGTGTGTGTGTGTGTGTGTGTGTGTGTGTGGGTGATGCACAGTCACTCTGTGTTACTTCCAACAATTGTATATTAACAGTTAAAGCTCAAGCACCACGGTGCAGGGTCCAGTGAAGGCCTTCTCTGTGTGAAAGGCTCCTGCCTTTGTGTGCATCAGACTGTGGCAGCCTCAGCCTCCAGGAGAGTGGGTGAGAGAGTACTGGGAGAGAGGCAGGGAGCAATGCACAGGAGAGCTTGCCCTGAATGTGCTCAGGAAAAGATAGCTGCCAACAGGGGCAGGGTCACGAACACTGAGTGATTTCCAGCCTCCATCAATAGATACTATTCTTAGTGAAGGCTTATGAAAAAAGAGATGCAGAGAGCATTTTTTGAATGTAAGCAGCTCCAAGTATGACAGACACTGTTATTGTTAAGACCCAAAAAACTCTTACTTTGTCTTCTGTGATGCTTGATTCTCTTCCTACCTGTGTAAGGAGGCCAGGTTGGATCTGCAGAGGCTGGGCACCAGGGGCCTGCGTCACTATGGGAACAGCATTCTCCATTCGCACAGAGTAACTGGTGTGCTTGGAAGGGGACGCCTGCAGCCCTGTGCAGAAATAAACCATATGCACAGAGGACATCAACAAGTAAGTACACCAATCGCCTCCACATCTGAAATTTATAAACAACATCATGCAATCTGCAACATTAAGAGCAAGAGATCAGATAAATGCTTGTATATGCAATCTGATTTATGTGCAATCAACAGATGTCCAAACCCTTCTGCTATATTTGACTATAGCAACACTATTTAAAATAGTAGTCATGGCAATAGTATAATAGTATAAAAATTGTTTCTAATACTGGAATTTTTCTCCAGGGCATTGAGATTTTTAATCTCAGTGAGGATTTCCTCGTAAAATAAAGGTTAATTTACACAATAATAAAACATCAAAAAGAATAAATAAATAATTAATAATCCCTTGCAGCTCTTCTGCCCTCCCAGTTCAAACACGGAGGAGTGTTGACTTAGTATTACACAAATATATTACATTTGTTTTCAATTGATTAATTCCCTCCTCAAGTTATCACTAAATCACCATTTGTTGTACGATCAACACCGCCCAGCCTCTAGTGTGCTAAGCTGAAGCTGCAAAACAAAAAGACAAAAAGCCACTAAAAAGAGGATTATCTATGTACAGAGATAAAACTAGAGCTGACTACAGTGCTCTGTTTATGGTGCCAGATAAAAGCTAGCTGGCGTCCTAAAGCTAGGACTAGCCTACATATTACAGCCTGTTCGAGTGCACATGCTTATGGCTAAAGCTTGAACAGAAACCCCATTCTATCCATCCACACTAATGCATACTGAGTGGTCAGTCCTCCTCTACCTTGGAAGCCAGGTGGACAGACGATGAGTGCCTGCTGGAAGGGGTCAGGACGGGCAGCGCAGAGCTGAGGAGCCCCCGGCTGGAGGGGCATACTCCTCTGGGCCACAGCTGCCATGGAGGCAGCTGAGGGCTGGTAGAGTGCAGATTGGTAGTTTAGTATGGAGACATCAGGACTTGCAAAGGAAAGGGTGGCATTGTTGGTGGAGGAGGGAGCCAGGTTGGTGGCCTAAAGGAATGATGGGACCAAAATAAAAATCATGAGAGTGGGGGTACTGATGGGAGTGACAGGGAGATGCAGGGAAGGTTTGAACAGCAGGCATGGTACAGTAAAATGACAAAGATCACTAACAAAAATAGAAAACAAAAAGCACACATAAAGATGCAAAACAGCCACCAGATCAAGGGAAGATGGATAGCAGGTCATCCAGCATTGGCAAAAGCTGATGGAAGAATGAGGAAACTGGACGACTGATTTGAACGCGTCTTTAAAATATGTGCACGTTTGATGAATTGGAAGGAGAGAAAGCATGTGAGGACAGATGCAATCAATGCTACAGTTCTTACAATGATCAACCTTCAATAAGCAAAATGCCACCAGAGCAAACAGTCTGAGATTTTGATCACTGTGTATCACCTACACAACTTACTGGCAAACCTAACTTCTGGAATAATGCATTGCTAGATAGGAAATATACTGTTCAGCATTAGTCAGCTATGCTAAGCATGCTTTGTATTTCTCAGTGCACTATTTCTATTTAAAACCAATTAACCACACAGTAAATGTTAGAGTCATAAGGAGATCTTATTAGAACTCAGTTTAACTGTAAATGTTACAAAATCATAATGAGTCAATATAATGAGCTGCAGCAAAGTTTGACATTTCATATCATGGCTTCATTGTCTAGCCTCCAAATCAATATGCCTGAGAGAAGTAATATTTCACAGCCAAAGGTTATTCTATAATTATGCAAGCTTAGGTAACTGCAGCATGTCTTAAGGATTAATAAGACACGTGAACACCATGACCACCTGGGAACCTCCTGGATACAAACAAATAGTTTAACAGACACCATTTGCTAAACTCACAAGTAGTATTTGCTCCATGAGACACTGTCTAATTGTAGCCCTTTCATTAAGCGTACGTAGGGGCGGAGGGAAACACGGCACTTTCATTTTTCATTTTCTCTCTTTAGCATGTTTGATGAACATAGGGGGAGGGGACATAATCAATACGGCACTGTGTCATTCATCATATACAAGCACAGAAACAGCAAAATACAAGCCTAACATCCAGCCATGCAAATGAATCAAGGTGAAGAAATCACTAATATAAGTCTGTCTATATGCCCTGAGAGCCAGGAGCAGGAAAGACAAGCTGAGGGAATGTTAATCCATTTAAATCACAGCAAGATGGGGTTTTTGTTGCATGCTACACAGTATGAGCTGGCTCAATATAGCTGGTGATAAAGAACTCTGTTTACTAAAAAGAAGGGGTGGGGAGAAAGCCGGAGTTGTAACTAAGCACAATCTGGAAAACCTTGCAACCCGAAGCCCGGCAGAAGACAAAAGTCAGCAGTTTTGATTCACAGACCGTATGGGAACGAAACGGTAAAGCACCACAGGCTCAACCCAGGGAAATGGGAGGAAAGAAGAGAAAACAGAGGAGGACAGGAGTGAGAGGAGGGGAAAAGAGAGGAAGCCTGGTAAAGGGATTTTTAAGGCCTGAGAGCCCCAGAATGCAAGGCAAGCAGGATGTAGGGCTTGTCATGTGTGTAATCAGCACTTTGTGACAATCCCACAGGACCTGGGGCACAGACAGAAATGCAGGCAGACAGATATACATGCACCAAGACAGAAAGGCAGGCCAGTAAGCATGGAAACATGCCGACAGACAGGAAGAAGACGAACAGGGGGGGAGGAAGCAGCACAAAGGGACAAACAGATGCTCACAAGCTGCTAAATTGTTCAACCACTGACAGTTGGGTGTTTAAAGTACAATTATTTGTATACGACTGTGGAACATGTCAAATATGTCATGTTTATATTTTTAAGAGCTTCAGCCTGGTTTTAATTATCTATTTTCCATATTTTATGCTTGGTCAGAATGCTATTGTTTTGAAAGTCACTTATGATTTATTGCTTTTTATCTGAACTTTTAACTTTTTTCAGCTGATTTTTTTATTCAGTATAGTAACGATTGTCTCTATTGTAATTGAACTGGAGCCTACAATGGAAGTGCAGTAAACCATAACTAAAACAATGCATATACTTGCAACTGACAGCATAAAAGTTCACCATTTGTAGTTGCCTCATAGCGGACTGATGAATGAGGATGTTTATGTATTTCTATTTTACCTGGCTGTGCACAGTGTTCAGCTGGTTGTTGAAGGTCATGGTGAGGTTGGTGGATGTGCTGGGGGCCACGTGGGTGATAAAGGGCGTCTTGCTCTGGTTGACTGTGTCGTACATGTTCACACGACACTTACAGATCTCCATGTTTTGGAAGCATGACTTCACACTGCACAGACAGAGAAACGGAGCTGGAATGAGCCTTAGGACAGTGACAGATGTTACTTCAAATACGCAAAGAACAGGGCCTGTTTAGCTCGTACTGTGTGCTGTGTGGAAAATCGAGGAGATGTGACATAGTAACAAAGGGGTGGTTGAGCGTTTCGATAGGGGTGATCCTCTTGTCTGCGTCGATGGTCAGCATCTTGGTTAACAAGTCGATGAACTCCCTCCTGTCAGCCTTTTCTGCCAGCATGTCGCTCCCCTCTAGATCTGACGTCATGTTCACCTAGAGGCACAAAACAAACACATAAGCATCTCAGCATCTTAACATTTTCACATACTTTCAAATGGCTGAATGTTCAAGATCTCTAATGTTTTTAGCCAACAACAGAGAAAATATATATCCCACAGCTTATTCCCATAAAGAGACCTATTAATACTGAGAAGGCCTCATCAGTCAGGGTGTCACTTCGTGTGTCACGGAACTCAGTGATAACCTTGCACCTTCGTGACATTATAAACATTTGCACTGGTATTCATAGCAACACTTGAAATATCTCCTGGCGCCTTCACTGAGATTTTTATCTCCTGAGATGTGAAAGCAAACAAAAAACATGAACCCAATAGATGCTGCCATTGGCTAGTTGTTAAAAACCTTTTTCACAGAGGACATCATTTTGTGAATGCCTTTGAAAAAGCTGACATGAGACAACTTAACCTAAACATGCTTTGAGGCAGTTCTGGGTAGCTGCCATCATGTTGCTTCATCTGTATTAAACATTGCAGCTTAGGTTGTGGATAAATCCTAGGAAGCGCAGCAGATTTTTGCTTTATTACAGAACTACATAACTAGGAGGAACTGCTTTGTTGGGCACAGGACTGAAGCTGAGGGGCAGGTTTACTTTTAGGATTGTCGTACGGGATGAGGAATGAAGGGAGTGGAACAAGGTCATGATGCAGCTAGTCTGGGTTTAAGCAAACAAGCAGATTATCAGGCAGTGTGAGGACAGAGACGGGGACAGTGGCAACAGACAGGCAGCCTTGTTTATTGTGACTGGCATGCAGAGGGAGCAGGCCTGTTTTTCATAAAGACAGTGCTTATCTGTAGGCCTGCTCCAGGGGCTATCAGATGTGCTGCCAGTCAGCACTGCAAATCTGATTCAATTCTCTTTTTTTATACAGGTTATTCAGACTCTGTAACCACATCTTTATGCTTGCCATCTCCACCGGCTGTGATAGAGGAATAATCTGCAGAATGAGGTGAGAAATAATCACTTTGTCCTCTGCTAGTGGAAGAAATGACTTTGGGTAATGTACACAGTTTGGTTGCACATGCATAGCAGGTGTGAGTTGGCTGAGGTGCACCACAATAATGGGGCTGGATAAGAAGAAGCCTGAAGAGGAAAGCTACTTTTGGTATCATCAATTTAATTAAAGTATGTGAATTAACAAGACAGAAAAGATATTTTCATGCTCCATTTTCTTTCAGTAACAGCAAGTGGCAACATTTGACCTGAAATGAGAATGCTAAGTAAAAAACATAAAGACAAGGAGCTTCAACTAACACGGTCAGCCTTGCGTACCTTGCATGTCAACGACTGCTTATGGAGCCACATCTGTGCTGCAAGGAGCCCTGGCATACGACATTGGAGCAAGGGCAGTGATGGCACATGTCAGGCAGTGGGACAGATTGGGCTACACCTGGGAGATGTGGAGCTAGGCCTTTCTTCCACAGAGGCCCACAATGTGCACAGATTTACCCTACAAACTTTATTTCTCAGTAGGGGAGAGTTAGAAGAAAGGCAGAGTGCATGCGTAAGGGTATATAATAAAACATAGATAAGGCCATGCTGCAACTCCTACCATAGCTCCACTCCTATCAACAGAGATATTGAAGGATTGCAGCTCAAAGTGAATCCATTTTCAAGCAGTTCCGGCCTTCCTTCCTTCCATCTACTATACATCAGGCCTCTAGCGGGGTCCTGCATCTTCTCTGATTTACTTCTATTAGATATACTTGTGACTAAAGCCTCCCCACTTTTCCCACGACTGGAAGGAGGTTCATTATCTCTTCCTGGCACCCAGCCCCTCTGTCTTGCAGGGCCTTCAGCTATGTCATCCATTATGCACACGGAGACAGATGTCCACAGTGCTGACTTGTTTATATGGTGGGGATGGTGAGATGGAGCAAAATAGTCAGTTTTCTCCCACATTAAGCTCGTGCAGTTCTGCTGTACCTCCTCTGTGTTTTTGTAGTAAGCCAAGTCTGGCTGCAACACTGAGAGGAAGATGGGACACAGAGCTTGAAGCGTAGGAGACAGAGATGACCCAGGGGATTTCATATGCGTGTGTTTTCATTACACTCTGTGCTGCAGTGTTGTGTGTGTGTGTGTGTGTGTGTGTGTGTGTGTGTGTGTGTGTGTGTGTGTGTGTGTGCGGTAACTGTAAATTCAACAAGCCCAGGCAGCGATATTAGCTTGTCCCAGCCGACAGCATGTTATTCCAGACAGGCCTGACAGCAGCCCTGGGCGCTACTGGACAACCATAATTGTCTCGATCACTTAAGTAGCAACATGTGTTGTGTATTCACATGGACAGCTTCCAGAGGCTGCTGCTGATTGTGCATAAAGATGACCATGTTCCAGAAGAATAATTCACCTGCTTAACTTTGATCTTTCTGCTAGTCAGTATCAGAGGCAGGATTGAGGAGCATGATGACAACAGAGTACTGTCAGAGATTCACAGGGGGCCTGGGAAAACACTGAAATTTTCCATCACCACTGCCGTATCTGCCAGCAGAACCAGTATTTGGTCAAGCAAGGGTGAACAAAACAATACTCACTATCATCTCACTGTCAGGCACATCCTAACAAAATGTCATGGCTACATGTGAATTTTCCAACTGTGGAGAGGTGAATTCACTCTGAGTTCAGAGAAAGTGCTTTTCCATATATAAGTCTGCTATATAAGTCACTTCCTGGGGTTACATAAGATCTTCTAAACAAACAGATTCCCATAAGTGACATGCAGGCCTGAGGAAGAGAGGGGCTAACCAGCTGAGTCATGCAGACACAACATGGTGCGAGTCCCGCTGACTCGGTCTGAAAAACTGGTTTGGCCCTTCTGGAATGTGTGCATCTGTGTACTTCAGATGTACAAAGTGAGGACAAAGCCACAAACCTCACTCTAACTTAAACAAGAAAGCAAACTTTGCATAAGAAACACGTTAACCGGCCTCACCACATGTTCAGCTCCAGTGTCTGTCTGTAACTTATTAGATAGTGGTTAAGCAAAATGAAGAGCAGAGGCAGAGTTGAGAAGGGGTTTCAGTGAACAGCTGCTTTCATTTCACCCTGTAATATTCTATATAGCAGCCGAGCTACACTGCATCTGGAGATCAGGCCTTGGCAGGATAAACATTTTAAAGGATTTCTAATATTTGATGGATCAAATTAGCCCCAGACCTAAGTAGCCCCACCAGAAAAAACTTCAGTTGTGAGACAGATGTATGTGGTTGAAGCAAAAGACAAAAGCAAATAATCCATCTATTGTCTGATTTGTGTGTGTGTGTTGGGGTGGGGGGGGGGGTCATGCTTTGTGATACTGCAGCTGCATACCTGCGCCATGTCATCCAAGCAGTTGAAGATGTACTTGCGAGCTTCCTTGGACTTGATCCCCGTTTCGCCCTCATGGTCCTCTGGAGTCTGCAGGAGACAAGAAGCAGATGTTCCTCTCAAATCCCATCACACTTCCCCCTCTGAAAACGAACTATTTACATTTGGCTCATTACAGCCTCTTGTTGTTGATGTGCAGCAGGACTCGGCTCGCCCTCTGAGCGACCCTGGGGTAGCACACAAATGCTCATCTAACAGCCACGGAAGATGTGGAGGTACACACTACTGTATATCAAATGAACACTGATATATAGAATATACACAGTGCTACACACACAAACACTCAGTTTCACAAGTTTAATGAACACATATTTACATAAACTATATGAAAATGCGAAGCAAGTAAAATTGCATGCAATCATCTTCTTTCAAAGGTGGAAAATTTACACAAAACTATACTGTGTTGACTGAACACATGATATTTTTAATTACAGTCAGCAAAGTAATGCAGTTGCGGTTACTTGGAAACACATGACAAGGTCAAATTAAAGCTGAGCAATCACTATTACAGACTTTGCTTGCATGTTTGTGTCTCTCTCGGTGGAAAAAAAGTCGTCAGGTTGCTTTGAAATTTGACTTTCCACATACAAACGACACTAGAATATCATGATGAGCTACATCAGTGGTGTCAAGTTCAAACTAATAATCCATCTGCATCTTCCCTACAATGCAGCTGCCAACTCATAACCTTCAGGAACTCAGAAACATCCTTCTTTAAAGTGATAACAAGCGTTTTAAAAAAAAGGTGTCACAAAGTACTGAAAAACTCTTTGAGCAAAAACATGAAAAAGCTGTGCAATTCTTGCCTGACAACTGCTAAAACCCCAGAGGAAGCTGACTTGAGCGCATGTATCCTGTGTAGTCTATAGATATACAGTATGTCTTCATTTAGAGGTCAATCATCACCATTAGCTGTTGTCAGTGTGGTATTCTATAGGATTCCTAAAGAACAAATGCATTCACAATTGCTCTTCTAAAAAGATTCATTCTAGGCACAGGCAGAGCAGACATGGGAAAACACCTCCATATCCTGCAGAGATGGATCAGAATTTGCTGTATGATACAGTCAAGAACTCAGATTGTGCAGATTGTGTGGCACAAAAAGGTTCAAGTTAAATTAATGAGGTTAAAAAATAGGAGTCAGACCTTCTAGCTGAGTGGCCTAAATAGAGGGAGACACCCTCAGAGCTAGGTTCACCAGGCTGAGTTTCCATTCACCAAATCCTGGCGCACAAATCCATTCTGCATTCATCACCTTCTCACTCTGTTTACGGCCATCAACAGGGCAGCCAATGCCTCACATAATGTAGTGTAAGCAGAGTTTCTGGAATATTAACAGCAGCTTTTGCTCATGAAATATCACTTGCTCCTAGAAGGATGCTCTTGGTGTTATCAGCGTGGAGTTTGTGTTTCTGTGTGGAGGCATCTGCAACATTCCAGCTGTACCTTAAGCCTCCAGAGAGGATAGGTAGCTTGGAGTTTGTGTTTCTGTGTGGAGGAATCTGCAACATTCCAGTTGTACCTTAAGCCTCCAGAGAGGATAGGTGGAGTCGGGGTCTCTGTTGAAGAACCTGGTGGTTTTTGTCCCTGCACTCAACAGATACTCTGCAGGCAGACCCTGTGTCTGTGAGATGTACCGGATCTGGAAAACACAGGATGAAAAATGCATTCGAGGCTTTCACATCACATGCATGATTGAACCATGAGTTGTGTTTAAGCTGGGGAGCACTGGGAATCTTTCCTACTGATGGTAAAATAGAGGAAGGTTTAGGATGGATGTTCTTTTAGTAGCACCCAAAAATGACCTCAGCTCAAGAGTCTAAGATTGATATGAGACTTGTAAATGAGACACTTCGTAAAATTTTTGGGCCTGAGAAAAATCAGGCAAGCTTGTTCAATGATGGAGCAAAGTTACTCAAAGTTTTCCCTGCTGAGCTTCGTCTGACTGATAGAGAGGGGGGAACACGGAAATGTCTTGCTCTGGAGCACAGGGGCTGCGCTAATTGGACAAGTGGCTCTGTGGCATCTGTTCAGATAAACAGGGAGGCTGCGCAAGAATCATCGGAGGCTGTCAGGGGGATTGGAGAAGCATCCCACTCTCCCAAAGACACTCACAACAACAGACTCACTGAGAGAGAGCACACACAGATACTGTATACACACATAAACATAATTATATAAACACAGACTCTTTGGTATACTTGCACCCAAACGCACAAAAACGAGTTGCTTAGAGGTCAGGAGACAATTTGAAGGTTCAAGCAATCATCATGACTTACCTGATCGTACTCTGAGGCTCCAGGATAGAGGGGCCATCCCAGGAAGAGCTCGGCTATCACACAGCCCAGGGACCACATGTCTATGGCCTCACAGAATGGCAAGCCCAGGATGATCTCTGGAGCCCTGTGAACAGAGAGAACAATGGGATTCTGCTCTTACTGAGAAAGGCAATATATGTAAATGTCATGTGACTCTAAAGCCTTTTGAAGAGCTTCTTTTCACACTTGCCCTGAGCTCATGGAGAGGTGCCCAGTGTTATACACACAGGTATGAGGAGGAGATCATCTATTTTGGCTATCACTATCACCCAAAGAAGAAATCTTGTTTCAGTTACTTGAACAGCGCTAGTCCCAAACTAGGATTGACCTGGAGACTGTCCAGAAATTTAACAACATTCCCAAAGCCAGTACTGAATTAGATGGCAGGCACAAACACATTTAGAACACCTTTTTTTCGACACCAAAACGAGCAATTCAATTAATATTCTGTGTCTGAGGGCTGTTATGTTTGCTTAACATTGATCAGTCAATGTAGCCTTGAAAAAAGAGATTTATTTTCAGTAAGCTGAGGTCAACAGTGCGGTCCCTTTTGTATCACTTGTTTACGGAGTTTCCAAGGTAGCACCTCGCAGATAACCATGCTGGAGCACCAATCACTGAGCCCCATCTCTGGCAGTCTGACGCAGGGACTGGGCAACAGTAGAAGAGTATGTTTACAGAGTTTCATGGTCCACAGCTCTAAAGCAATGTGAAAGCAATTAATCCATGAAAAATAAATCAACATAAATATACTCAAGAGCATGCATTGAGCTTCATCCAGGATTTTAGTAGGCTACTTCTGAGTTAATAAAGGCAGTGCTCAATTCCCAGAAGCTGACTTTTCCCAGTCACACACACACACACACACAGTTATACACAAGAGACAATTTCAGTGGTAGAAGAGATAAATATCTATAATTTGATTTAAAAATAAGAAGTATTTAGTTACTTAAGCAGCACAAAAGTCCCCCCAAAAGTCCCAGATTTCATTGAACACATTTTATGTCCTGTCAGAAAGACTAATATACTTCTTGTGAACTCGTGTCTCTGGTGGGGCTTCAAATAACCAAGAACACAGTGACTCTGCTCACTAATTTGATTTGATTTGATTTGATTTGATTTATTCTTTCAAGCATATAAAACAGTTGATATAACAACACACATTTTTACACACAATCCAATATCAATTAGCTTATACCTAGTACCTGCTTGAATGGAGTAGGAAGAAGTCAGACTTATCCAGTCCTACCCCATGACATCATCTTACCATCATTGGTTTGCAAGCAGTAAATGATTCACTTCTACACACACACATATTATACTAAAAAAAGAATATAACAGTGTTAACATTCTTACATTACACAAGTGATATACTAAAGAATGACAATCCAAAGCACTTTCAGTAGATTCTCAGACTGTTTTTGCTCTAATGTGTTACCTGCTGGTGAAATGTAGTCACTTAATGTAGTCTCCACTAAGAGCAACAGGCAAGGCATCTGTCTTTACTGTACCTTCAATCTAGGATGAACTGCTGAAACTGAAATCTCTCTTTATCAATTAAAAAATATTAACACTATGACACACAGATCACAGGAGCTTAAGGCTGATCTCGGAGAGTTTCACAATGCTGATTACCGTGACCATGGTAACTAGGCCAGTGCTCCCCCCTAAACCTAGGCGGGATCTGGCAGGGTTTTGGTCATAGAGAAAGAAATGAGGGGGCCTGGCCCTGGGCCCGCTGGAACGGTAGGTCCCGGAGAAAAAGAGAATGTGAGAAACAGCATGGGGGGATGCTATAGGACTTTATAAGCCTGCAGGGGGGTGATGGGTGAGCAGTCTGAGGGCAGCTGGCGGGTTTGGAGGAGAATGAATGAACATACCTCACATGTTTAAAATCAAATTTCTAACTGAAGCCCCCTGCCCCCAGCTCAATGCTCGCTGATGCTCAGTGAAATGAAAAGATGGCACAGGCGATAAACTGTACACTGAGATATGGCTAAAAAATAAAACTATAAGACACCATCAGGACAGATGATGAGATACTGAGGAAAAACAAGACACCATCAGGACAGATGATGAGATACTGAGGAAAAACAAAATAGCAAGGAAGAAAGAGAGCTTTCAAGAGGGGCAGAGAGACAAATAAAGCAAATGAAGGGGAGCAGTGCTCAGCTCAGTGAAGAGTTTCTGTCACAGAAGGCTGTTATTGGGGTCTTGAGGGCAGCAGTGGAACAGAAAACCAAGACAACACTTAAGCAACGGTATCTTAAGGCATCATTGCACGCCAATACAAAGACACAGCGAGCAAAGAAGTCTGTCAAGGACTGAGGTCCACATGATCCCATGACAGTTTCATGACAGAACTCTTTACCTAACACAGAACAATACACACAAGTTGGCGAGGATTGTGTTTTGTATTTATGCATTTAAACATCACTGTTAATACCTTAACTTTTTCCTCATCATGGTGTCTATACAGAAGCAGTCATCGTCACAGCAATAGTTTTTTTTTACCAATGCAATATTTTTATGATGTAATGAAACCAAGATATTGTAGCAGCCCATCAGTTCTGCGGTGCATTTGTCATTGAAATAGAATTCACACATTCCTACACAAAAATACAAAATATATACCTCCTTATTTGCATGACTATGAGTTCTAAAAAAAAAAGAGTACTTGACTCTAAGAAACCAAAAATATGTATGAGCTATAAAAAGAGCTACAAAAAAGAGGAGGCTGTTTGCTGAAAGGAAGTTCTCCCCATCGAGATGCAGTGCAGAGATGAAAGCCGCAGGACACCACAGGAAACTCTTTCATCAGATAGTCCTCCAGTTCACAGCAACTCCAGCGGACACAAGCAGAACACAGGACCATCAACTCCACCCAGAAGAACTCAAGTGCAGTTGACACAAGCTGATGTCACAGCCAACTTTCACAAAACCCACTGTCATTAGGGTGTAATTAGCACTAGGTGTTTATCTTCAGTGCTTTACTATGCACGTGTGTGTGCAGCTGGGTGTCACAGTCCCATGGGATTTGTCCTGCTGTGCGATGGTGAGTTTTGCTAGTGTTGATGTTAGGCCTGGGTCAATTTATCAAGCTGAACCTTCCTGGGTTATGCTCCAGTGCTCTACTTAGGTCGTTCTCAGTGCTCGTCTGCCTCTCTGACAAAGCTTCTCTGGTTCAGCAAGACAGTGAGAGAGAGAGAGAGCAACGGAAGGGAAGAGAAAAGGAGTATGATCGTTACTCATGATATGAAACCACAAATGCAGATCTGACCCTATCAGCGCACCACTGCCATTGCATGCAAAGCATCCCACAGCTGCAGCTGCTGCAGGCCTTTCACTGGCAGTGATAAACTGACAGCTCACAAACCCTGCTCCTTTCCTGCCCCCCTTTTCCTTCCTAAAGTAGCAGAGCACAAGAGATAGACAAATCAAGCAGATCTGACAGTCAACTCTATTGTTGGTAAAACCAGCACATGATTAGTTAGTTCTGACTCATATAATTCTGGACCTTTTAAATTCAAGGCATTTAAATATACAGAGGGGGAACAGAAATGACTGTGGCTCAAAGACAGAAAAACACTCGTCACCTCATAAGCTCCAGAGTTCATGTGCATGCATACACCTACTGAGCACGCTACATCCAGCTGACTCTGCCAGTTTATCACCTTTTAAGCTGCACTGAACGTAGCTCATCTCCACTTGGCATGGCTACTGCAGACACTGCCTCTCGGAGGGTGGTGGTGAACCTTGCACTGCAGACCATGGATGTCACATACACTACAATGGGGATTCAGCCGCATGAGAAGCCTCAGTGTTCGGGCTAGTGGCTCTGACAGCACTGGCCCTTGACAAAAGAAAGCGTGAGGGTGAGCTGGAGAGAGAGTCTGCATGCTGACATCCTCCCAGCTGGCCTGGTCATTGATGAGCCCCAGTCCTTTTAGCGAGCCAGAGATGGCACAACTCATGAATGGAGCCTTTCTTCTGTCACCCTAACCCACCCCTACACCTCAGGCCCTTTACCCTCCCCCTCCACCAGCCCAGCCATCCCCTACACCTCACCCGGCTTCACCACCCAGCCCCTCCTTACAACCACTCTGCCAGCAAAACCCCCTTCAAACTCCTCAAAACTAGGGCGGCGAGGTCAGGCTCACACTCCCCTCCCTGCCTGCCTGTCCACCCTCTAGTCTGCTGGACCATGGGCACACTCGGAGAGACACACACGCAGCTGACATCACAGGCTGTGTGCATGTCAGGATGTATCCATCAGACTGACCTTCCCTTAGGTTGGCTCCAAACGGGAAACTGATGGGTCCCCTGAGTCTTGCAGCATTTACCCACACATGCACACACAGGTCGGCCAGTCTATGGTAATGGGTTCGATCTTCATCACTGGCCCCTGTGTAACTATGTTTTCTTCAATAGGCAGGCATTTCTAAGTAAAGAGTGGCATGTATACTGGAGGTAAATAAGATTTTATTCTAGCTATGACATACTGTAGCACCAGCTGTGAAGAAGCAGAGCTGTTCAGTTCTAATAGGAAAAAGAAGCTCATGAGAAAAGAGCCTGACTAACTTTTCTCCCTTCTATTGCCTTCTCTTCTTTCCCTTTTCCTTCCATCACTTTGCCTCTTCCCTTCTCCCCAGCCCACACTTTGACCTTGCCTAATGTAAAAGGCTCAGGTTGGTGCTGTGAATGACTCCCTTCCTCCCGCAGGGTGTTCATTTACATATTCATGCCCTCAAAGGTTCCTCCACAGCTTCTTTGAAGACGCACCATATAGAAACACTTTTCTAGATATATTGCACGGTGGTCGCTTACTGTGAAATCAATATGCAGTGTTACACCCCCTACCGTGCACCTGTGGTTCGCAGGAACCTGTCCCAATCCAGGAAGCACACACACACACATGCATCTACACCTCCCCTCTCCATCTCCTCTCATCATATCAGAAATTGCTGCACATGCCAGGCATAGGATGCAATACTGATGTAAATACACGTTTATGTAGGCAGAGATTATGGATGGCATTTAAATTTAGAGCTTGGGTGTTCCAGGTGGTTGAGAAGTGGAAAAGGG